CTGCTTGTGATTTCTGTCTGTCAAATAAATAAAAAAAAAAAAACAAACAAAAAAAAAACCACAGATTGCTGCTTCTATACTGAGTTTCTGATTTCAAAGGTCTGGGGTGGGAGGCCCCCATTTTGCACTTCTAACCAGTTCCTAGTTGATGCTGGATGTCTGGACACCACGATTTGAGACCTACGAATATAGAAAATGTAGTTAGGGGGGCACCTGGCCGACTCTTGGTTTCTGCTCAGGTCAGTATCTCATGGTGGTGGGATCGAGCCTGGCTTGGGCTCCCACACTAAAGGTGGAGCCCACTTGGGATGCTCTCTCTGCCCCTGCCCCTTCCCTGCCCCCACATGTGTGTGCACACACTCTCACTTCAAAAAAAAAAAAAAGAAAAAGAAAAGAAAATGCAGTTAGGGTTTAATTCTTCATGGATGACAGATCCTAGGATCTCTGTGTAGATAAAGGAAGCCAATTTAGAGAACATTTTTTTTGTAAGAGAACATCTTAATTCTGGAGGCTATTACAGACGGACAACGGTGTGTCGGTCGGTGCGCCGTTCTCAGCACACCGCTGGGGGCACTCCATCGGTGAGAGCGGAGCCTCCCCCAGTGTAAGGCGATGCATAGATCAGCGGGCAGTAAGTTAAGTAAGACCCCTGTACCTTCTCAGGGACAGACCTGGTGCTGTGGCTTCTCTTCTAACTCCGAAAGAGGAGCGCTGCCACAGGGCACGCGCTGCTGTGAGCTGTCGAGAGCTGCAACCGTTGCTCACAACAAATCCGGAAAACGAACACCTGAAACTTACCAGGGCACGCACACCTCAGAACAGCTTTTAAAACCTTTTCTGGGGACACAGTGGTCTCCACTGAAAGCATCTGAACCACAGGTACGCTGGACTGCTGCGCGGACATGAATTCACAAAAGCCCTTCACTATAATAAAAGATCAGTTTTCAGGTAAAATGAAGACTTTTCATTGTGATAGGATTATTTTTTTAAGAGTTAAACTATCTGATCTGAAAATGCTGTATTTACTCTGAAGCAGTCGTTACCTAGTCTTCCGTGTGCGCGCACACGCGTGCAGGCACTTAATAAGTGTGTGCAATGAAAAGAAGGATTTCCTGCCATTTATTGAAATGTGTAGTTCACTGGCAGGAACATCAGGATCGCTGCCCTTGTCCCTGCAAGGGGCAGGGAGCCAGACCCCTTGCCTCTGGGGCAGTCTTAAGCAGGAAGCTGGTCAGCCTGTGGCAGTCTGCGGGTGGAGGAGGGCGCGGCCGTCCTTGCTCATCGGCAGGAAACGGCGCCGTCTGGCATCCTCTTCCAGCATGGATTGCGGTAGCATCCGTGATTGTGTTTAGTCTAAGAAGAACACACTAAAAGAATTAAATTGGGGGTACCTGGGTGGCTCAGTCAGTTAAGCATCTGCCTTTGGTTTGGGTCATGATCCTGGGGTTCTCAGATCGAGCCCCACGTCAGGCTCCGTGCTCAGTGGGGAGTCTGCTTGTTCCTCTCCCTCTGCCGGCAGCTCCCCCTGCTTTTGCTGTCAAATACATAAAATCTTAAAAAAAAATTAAAAAAAAAAGAATTAAACTGAATCAATACAATGCAGACAACAGATAATGTGATAAAGTCCCTAATGATTTTTCTCAGCATTTTATTATGAAAATGTTCAACATACAGCAAAGTTGAAAGGATTTTACGGTGAACACCTATTGCCCAGGATTCTACCATTATCGTTTTCCTGTTTTATCACATATCTAATACTCTATCCATCCATCAATCCACCTTAATTTTTGATATATTTTGAATAAGTTGCAGATAGCTATAGCCATCCTCCTAAAAATCCTCAGCAATACAAATCACTTAAGTTCAGTATCTTTTTGTTTTAAATTTTTCACATGATGAAGTATACCAGTATTAATGGTACGTTTGCTAAGTTAAGACGAACGTCCGCACCTGTGTTACCCAAACCCCTATCGAGATGTAAATTACACCATCACCCAGAGGTTCCTTCGTAGCTCTCCCCAGAGGCAACCGGGTTTTTTTTTTTTCCCAGCATAGATTTGCCTCTTCTGGAAATTCACATAAATGGAATTCCACAGTATGTATTCACCATGAAGATTTTTAAAAGACACTCCTTTCTGCCCTGTGTCTCTGAAACAGGGAAAGCAAGTGATACAGACAGCATCTGAGATCAGATTACGATTCCCTCACTGATAGATATTCCTTAGGAGAACCTCTGGTCTAAGGAGTCAAGGGTCAGAGTCCGTCCTCCAGTGAGTTCACGTTGTCCTGAAGGCTCCAGCACGAACATCACGGAGCACACGCAAGGGCTGAAACAGCCATCACATGCCGCAGAAGCGGGCCTCATCCAGCCTGGGAGCCAGCAGGGAATCGAGGGAGGTTTACATGTTCACTTCGGCATTTGTCTCAGGCAGCCAATGCTCTGTATTTTCTATGAACCTAGAGTCTTCTAATTTAAAACTACTGTCCTTAAATGGGCGGCCTGCCAGTACTGAGCAGCAGGATGTATGGCAAATTCGCTGAACAAAATAAACCAGGAAAAAACTATAAAAGGCACGAACTGAAATAAATTATTAGCCATTCTGTTTTTTTCTGGCCAGAATTCAAACTCAGATGCACGCAGTACTGCCCTGAAACACACGAACATGTGTTTGTGTTCCTGGCCCACAAGCAGCAGCTTTGAAGCGCTCCCGACATAGCCAGCAAACCTCTGACCTTGGGCTTCCCCTCCGCTTTCTCAAGGCCCAGCAAACCGAGGCCCCCTGCCAGCTTTTTACCCTTCGCCCTCATCATTTACACACAAATTACAAATGAAAAGTACTTGGTTCCCTTACATTTTCCTACTCTGCCCTTCTCAAAACTCCACGGCTATTTAGCAGGGAGTGAGGAACCCAAGGAAACCTGGAAATTTCCTGTTCAATTCCTCTCTTCCCAGAGGAGGAGGGGAGGAGTGAGAAAGTTCCAAAGCGGCTCTTCGCCCACAGGAAGGGAGGAAGCTGTCAGGAGCCACCTCGCACCTGAAGATACGACGGCCCTCGGAAGAGAAGTTGGCTTCCTTTTTCTAGTGTCATAGGAGACAAGAAGCCTCTCCACGGAACTAAATGCATTCCCCGTTTTCTGGTGCGCTTCGAGATCAGGTCACTGCCTTACCCACAAGGAACTGCTGACTAACGACCGGGTCCCCAAACATTCCTGTCGGCGACGAAGGATGGAGGGACAGACGCAGTCTGCTCTTAACAACTAAAACTAGTCCCTGCTTTCATGACACTTCTACAGTTAACAAAGCAGCGGTCGACGACTCTATTTAAGGAAATAACCGTTAGGCTCCTCGATCAGTTAGGCTCGTGCATGTAATGGACTGAATGTGTCCCCTCCAAAATGGATACGTTGAAGGCCTAACCCCCAATGTGAGGGGATGTGGAGGTGGGGCCTTTGGGAGGGGATGAGGTTTCCATGAGGTCATGAGGTCCTTTCTGCCATGTGGGGACACGGTGAGAAGTCTGCACGCCAAGGAGAGGCCGCTCACCAGGAACCAGCTCTGCCGGCGCCCTGATCTTGGCCTTCCTAGCTTCCAGAACTGTGTGAGAAAGACAGGTTTGTCAGTTAAGTCATTAGTCTCGGGCATCTCACTCTGACAGCCCAAGCAGCGTTAACGGCTTCTTCCCTACACAACCTTGATGGGGAATGGAGGTCTGACAGGATATTCCAGAATGCTGCGACCCTGACTATCCATGCGTCGTCTCACCCTCCTGACTCCTCACCGGGCCCCCGCGGGGTATCAGGCACGGGGCCAGACACTCGAACGAGGGGACGGCCCGGCAGAGTCCCTGCCTTATGGAGCCGGCATTCAAGAGGCAGGAAACACTGAATACTCACAGTTCGGTGCAAACAGGGAGTGCTCTGAAGAACAGGAATGTGGCGGCACGAGAACGTCCAAGGGTGGGGGGACCTGACTTAGTACCTGAAAGTGTGAGCCGGCTTCCCTGAGGCGACACTCAAGACCTCCACAGAGGTGACTAAGTGAATGCGGGGCAGTGCTGTGCTTGGGCAGGGGACTAGGCCGCGAGAGCAGAGGTGGAGGGCGGAGGGCGGAGACCGGAGACAGCAGGCCCCGAGTGGGGGCTACAGAGTACTCTTACAGCCATTCCCACAATGGATCCAAGGGAGAGAATTTAGAAAAATTCTATTTTATCCTCAATTTCGATTTCAAAATCAGCTCTGCTCACTGGAAAAAAGTTCCCCCTTGGAAACTTCCGAAACTAAATGAGGTTGGGCGTCCGCCTCGGAGAGGCTCCCCTCCCACCCCTGCAGCGCCGCAGGGCTCCCCCTGGGGAAACACCGCCCACACTCTCCCCGCACCCCTCCCCGTCCTTGGTGCTCCAGCGGTGGGCTACAATGACGCCGCAACAGAGGACACGTCCGACACACTTTCATCTATTCTAAAGTTCAGGATTTCACGTTTATGACTAATTCCAACCCCAAACTGTTGTTTTACAAGCCTGAAGTCAATCGCTCCCTTACCTGCTGGTCCTCATCAGACAGCTTCAACAGTCCCTTGAGTCCGGGAGCACCTTAAAATTTAACATGTAAACAGCAGGCTGACATGTCAGCCTTCTAACAGAAAGGAACAGTTATTAAGTTAAAAGTAGAAAAAAAAACCTCAAAAAGCACAAAATCCATATCATTTAGCTTGGGGGAAAAACATGACCTTAAGGTACACTATACCACGGAAGTTATTAATAAACTGAATATACTAATTAAGTTTATAGTCAGTAGAGAAAAGTTTACTTCATTTGAGAAAAATCTGGAACTCCTCCTGACCTAGTAAGATGGATCAATGAGGGGCTATTCTACCTGCAAAGTTACCAGAGGAAGGTGCTGAAGAGTTGGAAGTAGTATGCTAAATGTTTCCTCAACAAAAAGACAAACCACAAAAAAGTGCTAGTAACCCTAACCCAACCACAAGAGAAGACCAAATAGAATGGACTGAAAATAAAAACAACTTTATTCCAAACAGAATTACCAAAAGAATGTTAACTGACACATTTAACAGGTTTCATTTAAAGTCAGTCACAAAACTCAAAAAACATTAAACATAAACAGCTTTGTGTGCTTAACCACTTTTAATAATGAAACTTAAAAAAAAAACCCCAAAAAACAAAGTGGAGACTCCCCCACAATCTGGGAGCCATTTAGGCAAGCAAATACTATCAAGCAAAAAGACGGCATTAAAAGTATTAAAAATGAAAAATCCTCAAACTTAAGGAGAACGCCTGTTAGATCTTGGATACGCATTTATACATACAAGAAAACAGAGTATTTTAATTGAAAAGAGATCAAGTCTGAGCGCTCACCCTTCCTTGCCACGTGATCTCCTGCCTGGCCTTCACTTGGACGGCACACACCTCTTGAACTTCATCTGCTCGGACCTGCCGTTTCCCCACACGGTGTGATCAGCGGCCCCAAAAAGGCCTCCAGGTCCCATTCTGCACATGCTGTCTGCCGCCCATGATTCTATGTTCGCACAGCGTGAGAACGGAGCACTACCAATGTCATCGAGCTAGGAAATGTCACGTCTCCAAAGGTGATTCCAGATACACAATTCTGTTTTATTGCACAGCTTACAATATATAGCAGGCGATTACACAACCATAAGGTAAGATGAATATTGACTACTGAGACAAAAACATTGACTGTCTCCAGCCACAAATGAAACAAAGACACACAAATCTGCCGCCTCGGCGAGGTTGTGTTTACTCTGTGATGCAGTCCTGAGGGCTCTTACCACCCTAAGCATGTTAGATACAGAATAAAGAGGTTGTGTTTACTCTGTGATGCAGTCCTGAGGGCTCTTACCACCCTAAGCATGTTAGATACAGAATCCGTAAGACATCTCTGGTGGCGTCAGAGATGAAGTATGGGAGGCAGGGCCGCGGGGCCCCGAGCTCGTAAGCCGTCTGTGCCACGTATGTAACAGAAAGGCCACTTTTAAAGCTCTTCAGGTAAAGTTATTCAGTCACGTTTGCCTTTCCAAAATTACTACTAGTTCACACCGAAGGTAAAAACAAGTGGTTAGGATCTCTTATGTAACATATTTTGACTTCTTTTAAGGTTCAGACAAAGCTGTTGGCTACCACAAGCAAGTTCTGTTCAGATTTTTTGTCAAATTTAAGAAGTCTACAGGACAACACAAAACCATCCCTGGTAATATATTTACAGTTTGGTCTCCAAAAGCTGTAAAAAGTGACAAAGAAATCCAAGTATGAGTTAAAAACATTAAAAATATTTGTTGTTTTTAAACGCCACAAGTTTGAGATTGCAGAAACCAAAGCATCCCCTTTTCAAATTCTCACTTGTATTTCACAAAAGTGCTTTAGAACTTGGGTTATCTGTCACCTCACAGGAGTGTATTAATAGACAAAAGGAAGCCCATCCCCAGGGCATGACCCCAGGCTAACTCACCTGCCACAAGGCGTGGTGGGCCAGGGGCCAAGCACCACCAGACCTCAGGTGCCTTTGTCATTCATTTCCTTACCCCGCCCCCGCCACAAACTCAACCCGCTTCAAAGCCAGACTATTCAACAAGCCAAACGATGCTACTCATGATGCTCCTCACGTTTATTTGGTGTCAAATCCTTGCTTTCTGAAATCCTCACCTCTGCATCTTGGTTTCCAAAGTAAACTGCCATTTCCAACACATTTTCAAAAGGGCTGTTGTAAAGCTACCGAGCCTCATTAGTGCCTGACAAGTGCTTGATGCTGCTTCCCAATCCTTTATGGCTGGAAGGGTGCTTATGTGATCAACCATATTGCATTTAGAGGTAAACATTGCTTTTGGACTATCTGCCCAGAAACTGAGTAAACTACCGAGACCCTGATTTTATTTTGGTCATTGTGTGCACATATTCATATGCAATTACCCAGAATGATGAAAAACTGGTAATAAGAAACCAAACTACTCTGCCACGTCAGATGCTGGCAAGCAATCATAACTACATATTTACAGATGTGGATTTTTAAAAGACTGATAACTACTTTTCTAGGATGTTTCAAGTTTTATTAATTATTCAGTTGGTAAAGAGGGATTTTGCTTCATCGATCTGGAAAAAATATTTTAAAGTCTGATTCCTTTGACAAGTTTTTCTCTATCAAGTAAGGGATGAGTATGCTATCCAGCTATTATGAACTAGTAGCATTTAAAATTAACCCAACAAATATCTTTAGTTTGATCTTATCTCAAACTGTCTTACTGTTTTAATGATAAAATGATAAAACTGGGTTCCCAAATGTAAAAATCCTAATAGAAGTCTCTATTTCAAGACTCAAATAAAAAAGCTAATACTGGGGGAAAAGCTATCCTGAGATTTGTTTTCTCCCCTTCTGTAATGCTTAAAAACCAGGAGAGAGAAATCTAGAATCCCATTAATAGACTTCCAAAATACAGTCTTATAGAAGTGTTTTTTTTTTTAAAGAGAGTTTTAAGAAAACAGGATACTTTGATATGACAAACTACAACTAAAAAAAAAAAAAAACACTCCCCAATCTCCCAAATCTCTTCATGAAGTTGGCAACAATTAATCAAAGAAACTGAATTAACCCGAGTTTGCAATTAATATGAAATTTCTTCACAGGAAGAAATGCCTGTAACGAAACATAAGTCTCCCCGTGTTTTGGCAATGAAATAAGTGAAATTAACATAAGGGGGTTTGGGAAGGGTTTAGGGTCACACTCAGAACTAGACACAAAACCTTCCAAGCTAGACAGGAAAACGGGAGCTTGGACTAGCTGCTTGGTTCTGCCACACCACGTGTGAGCAGTCTAGATAAGGACTATCCAAACAGGTACGTAGTTTCAAAACTAATATAAGCAATTTATCATAAAAAGCCTACACCTATTAAGCTGTTCTCTTCTGTTGTTTGTCCTACATGTGTACGCTTATGTTTAACGAAGACTACCCTTTGTAACTCCGCCTAAAAGCAGAGAAGCAAGAAATGGAGTAAGAGAAGGAAGCCTGAGAATTCACATGGCTCTAAGAGCCTTTTCTCTGGCTGCTCATAGCCACTGACATTTCAATACGGAAGATTTTAAAGACTTTTGGGAAAAAGAATCATACCGTGGCTGTTTTCCTGGTCAAAAGCAGTCAGGGAGACAGCTCTTAACCAGGCAATTAGCCTAAAGTTCTCGGATAATAATGAAAGAACAAAACCAAAAACCCCTTAAATTTTCCTATTAGAACCTTTTATTCTGAATTTGTTGGTGCTTCAAGAAAACAGCTTTGCCCATAATTCACTGTGCCCTGAACTTATGACACCAACTTGTATTTGGCCAATTAGAAACCAGGCCAAACTGCGTTCTTCTTAGGTCTATTCAGTTAACAAATGGCACTTAACTGATGGTTTCTTTCATATAATCTTTAACAAGAACTCATAAGTTGCATTGATTATGCCCCAAGAGATGAGGGAGCGATGGTAATTCAGGTGAGCACCTCTGAAAAGATTCGTCAGCTTCCTGTCCCGCTCTAGCCAGATTTTCTGGAAAACCTTGGGAAAAGACTGAAACTCCCCACCAATCTGAGACTGCATGCGAGTCTTCACGACATTAACTGGGAAAAACAAGATTCCCAACATGGCACCCAACAGACCTCCACAGATAAAATCATTGACCAGATGAGCACTGTGAGTCGTGGCAGTAGGCAGATGCTCCTTAATGGGACCTCGAAGGCCAAAGAAAAGGACATTGCTGAATCCATTACGGAAAAGAACAGGTACCAAGCCTCGATAATACTCTCTAATTCCATGGCATTTGAGCGCCTTGAAAGCATGGTAAGTGTTTGTAAATTTGTCATGATGCTTGTGGTCTTGAAGCAATGTCTGAACTCTTTCCAATGGAGTGAAAATTGCTTCTGTCGTCCCTGCAAGCACTGCGGCCACACTGCGGGTCGCAAACTCGGGGGTACGGACGTGCTTGCGGAGAAGGCAAGATAAGTCCTCATAGAGCCCAAACATGAGCGCCAGCGTCGTTGTCTTCTGCATCAGTGGGGGCAGGATGCCCCGGTACAAGTTTCGGAAGCCATCCCTCCGCAACTGCAGCACCGCGTCCCTCGTTTTGATCCCATACAGCTGCTGCCGAAAGAGCACCTTCTGAATGGGAAACGTGATGGCTACGTTGTTGAAAGCTGCACAGCAGCCACACAAGTAATGCTTCATCTCCCCGACATTCGCGATATGAGGTGACAGGTCTTGTTTTGAAGATGTCAGGATGGGCGGCCTCTTTTCATGAGCTTCTGAATCCACCATGTTGCTTAAGATCTTTCTTCTTCATGAAGGGTATTTTTAACCTACAAATAAGAAAACGACAACAGGTCAGCCATCACGGACAGGGCTAAACATGTGGAATGTTTCCTTATTTCCTTAACCCTTTAATTTCTGGACACAATAACATTTTCCCTGTCAGACTACATCAGTAATTGTGACCGTATTTTCAGAGGGCCCCTCGAGGTCCCTGATACCCTTGCAGGGGTCCAGCAGGTCTTTCCTTTTCTAGCCACGTACCTGTGTGAAGCTGGATTTTCTGCATCTACTTTAACCAGAACAACTTCTCACCACACACAATGCAGAAGCAAATACGCGACCCCACCTATCTTTTACACCAGACATCACACAGACCTGCAAAATGGGAAAACACACTCTTCTCATTAATTTTTTGGAAAATAGTTATTTTTCATGAAAATGTGTTGTCTATGTTAACATGTTATTTTAAAGCAAATTAGGAGCGCCTAGCGGCTCAGTCAGTTGAGCAGGTTGAGTGTCCAACTCTTCATTCTGACTCATGTCATGATTTCAGGGTCACAGAATCAGGCCCTGCATCTAGCTCTGCGTTCAGGGTGGAATCTGCTTGACCTTCTCCTTCTCTCTCTCCCTCTGCCCCTCCCCTCTCCCCTGACCCATGCAGGAGTTAGTACATACATAAATTTTAAATAAATGCATATAAATTTATAAATTATAATTTATAAAATTTTAAAAATTATAATTTCTAATTTAAATAATTATAAATATTTAAAAATAAAGTGAATTAATATTTTAAAATTTAGATTTCTAAGACCATAAATACTAATCCAGATAAATAAAGGCTCTTTAGGATCCACAATAATTTTTAAGTGTAAAGGGGTCCTGATACCAAAAAAATTGAGAACTACTGGACTAATTCATACGTTCTATATCATTATCTTTCTGAAAAAGATTCAGTCTTCCCTTGAGAAATAAAATAGCAAAATATGCATTCATTCATTCTGTTCACTAACACTCACTTAGTGTCTACTCTGGACTAGGACCTTTGCCAAGTGCTAGAGATTTATTTTATTTTTTTTTTAAAGATTTTATTTATTTATTTAACAGAGAGAGATCACAAGCAAGCAGAGAGGCAGGCACAGAGAGAGAGGAGGAAGCAGGCTCCCCACTGAGCAGAGAATCCGATGTGGGGCTCGATCCCAGGACCCACTGAGCCACCCAGGCGCCCCAAGTGCTAGAGATTTAAAAGTAAGGAACTCACAGGGGACCTGGGTGGCTCAGTCAGTTAAGCGCCTGCCTTCAGCTCAGGTCATGATCCTGGCAACCCAGGATCAAGCCCCATATTGGCCTCCCTGGTCAGTGGGGAGAAGCAGACTCCCCTCCATCCCTCACCCCTGTTCATACTCTCTCTCAAATAAATAAGACTCTTAAAAAAAAAAAAAAAAAAAAGGCAAGGAACTCACAATGTAACAGGAGACTGGCAAGGTAAACAAGTACCCCACAGTGTACATACCTCGTATGACAGATACGTGCTGTGCATAAGGGACACTGAACACACACCTTGGGAGGTAGAGACTGGAAGAACAGGGTCAAGGGAGGCCTGCAGGTATGTACTATACACTGTATTTTCCCAGTGTTACCAATGAAAACACCAATACTCTCCTTTGTCTGAGGTATAGAAAGTAAGTGGAGCTGGCATCGAAAGTCTGACTACAGGGGTGCATGTTCCCACGACTGCATCAAAGGATGGCAGTGACTCTGGGAGGCTGCCCGGACAACGTGGCTCTATCAGATGCTGAAGATCTGAAGCCTACACCCACGAGCTTAGTTCACCAAGTAAAACAAAGGTGAAGTCCTCCCCCAGAACACACCAGCGTCCTTAAAATGGCCAGGCTAGGGACGCCTGGGTGGCTCAGTTGGTTAAGCGGCTGCCTTCGGCTCAGGTCATGATCCCAGCGTCCTGGGATCGAGTCCCACATTGGGCTCCTTGCTCATCAGGGAGCCTGCTTCTTCCTCTGCCTCTGCCTGCCATTCTGTCTGCCTGTGCTTGCGCTCTCTCCCTCTCTCTCTCTCTAATAAATAAATAAAATCTTAAAAAAAAAAAAAAAAATGGCCAGGCTATCCTGTTGCCAGACATCTAAGTCTGATTTTCTCCAGAGGATCTAAACAGCTGGATCATCCAGAACAATCCTACAGCCCAGAAATAAGCCTTACTGGGGGACTACATGGCAATTGTATTGTATCTTAAATAGGACAAGCTACGTATTTTTTTTAAAGGTTATTTTAAGGGATCTCTAAACCCAACATGGCACTCAAACTCACTACCCCAAGATCAAGAGTCCATGTTCCACCAACTGAGCCACTTAGGGCCCCCAACAAGCTAAATATTTTTAAGTTGCTTTTACTTCCTCAACAGTACACCACATTTATGAGACCACTCAATAAAAAAATATCCTGGGATCGAGTCCCACATCGGGCTCCTTGCTCAGCAGGAAGCCTGCTTCTCCCTCTGCCTCTGCCTGCGCTCACTCTCTCTGACCAAAAAAAAAAAAAAAAAAAAATCCTGACTAAAAAATGAGCAAAGGACTTGAATAGCCATTTCTCCAAAGGAGAGATACAATACGGAACTCCACCCATCGTTTAAGCCAGACATGAAAGAAATATACAAAACTGTAAAACAGGGGTGCCTGGGTGGCTTAGTCAGCTGCCTTCAGCTCAGGTCACAAAGGACATGATCTCGGGGTCCTGGGATGGAGCTCCATCCACATCGTCAGCATCGAGCTGAGCTTCCCCATCGCTTTGGGCTCCCTGCTCGATGGGGAGTCTGCTTCTCCCTCCCTCCTGTGGCCCCTCCCCCATTCATGCTTTTTCTCCCTTTCTCTCTCAAATAAATGAAATCTAAAAAACAAAAACAGATACAAAAAACACCTTGGGGCAACTGGGTGGCTCAGTTGTTAAGTGGCTGCCTTCGGCCCAGGTCATGATCCCAGGGTCCTGGGATCGAGCCCCTGCATCAGTGGGAAGCCTGCTTCTCCCTCTCCCACTCCATGTAATTGTGTTCCCCCTCTTGCTGTGTCTCTGTCAAATAAATAAATAAAATCTTAAAAAAACAACACTACCAAAAAACTGTTAAACACACTCAGATGCCAACAGCCATATGAAAAGATGCTTGACATCAATCAACAGAGAAATGCAAATCAAAACACAATGAGATCATTAGGATAGTTACTATTTAAAACAAACAGAAAATAACAAGTGTAGGCGGAGCTGTGGAGAAGCTCAGTGTCCCTGTGCGCTGTTGGTGAGAATGTAAAATGGTGCAGCCACTAAACCAGAGTGGCAGTTCTACAGAAACTTAGAACTAACAGGATTCAGCAGTCTCACTTGCAGGAATGTATCCGGTAAGAACTGAAAGCAGGGTCTCACGAGGCACACACGCACATCCGCAGCAGTGCAATTCACAACAGCCAAGAGGCGGCAGCAACACAAGCGCCCACTGCCGCATGACACGTTCAACAAGACATGGTGTATATATACAGACAGTGGAAAACTATGTGGATAAGGAAGTCCTGTTATGTGCTAGGACAGGGGTGAACCCTGAGGACATTAAGTAAAATAAACCAGTCATAAAAGGACAAGTACTGTATGATTTCACTTACATGAAGTACCTAGAACAGTCGAATTCATATAGACAGAAAGTAGAATGGTAGTTGCCAGGAGCCTGGGGAAGGGGGAACAGGGAGTTTTTGCTTAATGGGTATAGTTTCATACATCAACTATTGAGCATTCAGGACAAAAGATGTTAAAATGTAAACACTATGTGGAACCTGGGTGGCTCAGTTCGTTAAGCAACTGCCTTCGGCTCAGGTCATGATCCTGGAGTCCCAGGATCAAGTCCCACATCAGGCCCTCTGCTCATCAGGGAGCTGGCTTCTCCCTCTGCCCCTCGCCCCTTTCATGCGCTCTCTCTGTAATAAATAAAATCTTAAAAAAAAAAAAAAAAAATGTAAACACTATGAAGTGCAGCCCAGGGGCACCTGGGTGGCTCAGTGGGTTAAGTGTCTGCCTTCGTCTCAGGTCATGATCCTGAGGTCCTGCAATCGAGCCCCACATCCGGGTCCTTGTTCAGCAGGAACCTGCCTCTCCCTCTCCGCGTTGCTCTCCCTGCTTGTTTGTGCACTCGCACTGTCCCAAAAAAAAAAGTGCAGTGCACAGCTGAAGCACAGAAAAGAATCAGAAAAATCAGTTCCTGGAGAGCTTATATCTACAGGAGCCACAGATACGTAATATCAAATACGAAACACACATCTGCAACTCCCTTCTAGGAGTACAGCCTATGGAAATAGTTATTCATACAAGATGTACACAAAGATTCAACTAGGCGACAGTCACGAGGCTCTTGAGAAGTACTGAATAAAAACTAAATGCTCAACAGTAAGAGGCCCACTAAATAAATGAAGATGCATCCACCTGATGGGATGTCATATAGATATTAAAAGAGTACTGGGGCACCTGGGTGGCTCAGTCGTTCAGCGTATGCCTTCGGTTCAGGTCATGATCCCAGGGTCCTGGGATCAAGCCCTGCCATCAGAAAGCCTGCTTCCCCTTCTCCCTCTACCTGCTGCTCCCCCCTGCTTGTGCTTTCTCTCTGCCAAATAAATAAATAAAAGCTCCATAAAATAATTTTTTTTTTCTGTTTCATTCAGACTTACAGGATAACACTGTCAAGACGACATTCATTTGCTTTTTTGTTGGGGACTTCTTCCTCTTTGTCTGCTTTTACACTGGCCTCTTAGCATACAAAGAAAATTAAATTCAACCAACTTATTCGAAGGCACTGCCCTGTCAGAGATTAGAGATAAAGGAGAACCCTGGCCTCAGGGGAGACAGGACATGCAAACGATAGACTACAGAACAATAAATGTGAGCACGGAAATATGCACCAGGTGTATAAAGGCCCCCGCAGAGAAAGGGGTCATTAACTAGCTGTCTGGAGACAGGGACAGGGCGGGATAGGATGTGTGGGCAGAAGCACATTCAGCTAACGGTGGCAGCGCAGGCTGAGGTGTCAGTCCTGAGTCAGAGGCGCAGCAGATCGAGTTCTCAAGGAATTACTCAATATGTTCTGTAGAGCAGAATGTGAGTGGAAGATGGGTGGGTGGCAGAGGACGACAGGGAAGCAGGCTTGAACCAGCATTACGAGACCCTCAGGAAGATCCCAAGACCCTCTGACACTGCTCCGTACTGTTTTTTTTTTTTTTTTTCCCTTTCTCATGAGAACCAAATGGAAACAAGCTATTTTCCTTAAGTATGTCACACCAGGGTCTATGTGTCCTCTTCCCACAAGATAGACCACACTAAGAAGAAAATGTATCATTGAACACTCTGGCTCAAAGTTTCTTTGTTCTGTTGGAGTTC